TTTCCATTGTGACTCACCAGGAAGTCATTTCCAGCAGAAAAAATAAGGCTTGACAAAAGCAAGCAAAACAAAAAATAATCATTTTTGAAGGAATTGCTGAATTCATTAAAAGAAAAACAAATCCATGCATGACCTAGTCATCCAAGTAGATTTTAAATTATTATTTACTCATTACAAATGCCTACAGCTGAAACATGACCTGGTTAGATTGATTTCTTGAAACTCTTTCTCTTTTTGTACTTGTTCTTCAAGCATATGCCTACTGGATCTGCATGAATTTATCTCATGAGTACCAAACTGCAATCCAGAAGACACAGGTGTAAATTCTCTGAATGTAGCAGCATGAGAAGTAAATTTTAGCTGGTCTTTCATTTTTATCTGTGGTAGAATGAACAAGAGATATAATGGCTTGTGTAAAATAAAGCTTCTTTTCTCATGAAACAGCTCCCAGTTCTTAGATATATAGTGTTTATGGCCATAGAAGAGTCTTCCTTTGACCATCTCAGTGTAGTTAAAAGAAATTCGCCATAAAGCTCATAGGTTTCAGTGGTATTTCTTAGGAAAATATAGGAAAATAACCAAACATCCTGGCTCATTTTCTGTAACTCCAACATATGAATGATATTTTTCACTTTTATTTTTATTTAGCAGTTATTGAGTGTGTTAACTGAATGACTCTATACCTGGGGTGGAGTCAGCATCTTTGCTCAACAGGTTATGCTTAATTGAAGGTGGGTCATTTAAATGAAGGGTAAATGCATGTGATTCAGAGCACTAAACGAAAACAGATAGAGCTGGCTGAAGCATTATAATTGGGAAAGAGTGAAGTGCTTGAATTCCAGAAAGGATCCAGATTATATCTCCCCCCACCCCAATGTAGGTATGCTAAAATTTCTTATGAGTTCAATTTTTCTAATGATTTAATTAGATCAGATTTATATATGTATCTGTAAATATGTATGTATTTATGTAATTTACATTACATAAAACCAGCATGTTTTAAAAGTGTCCTATCTAAAACATAGCATGGGATTCTAAAATTGATCGCTGTATATGTAAATTAAAAGAATAGCAATATTCTCATTCGAGTATGTTAGAATATGAGTGGAAAAAGGACTTTACATTACAAGATGGACTGCAAGGAACTGAACAGAGAAAATATTGTCATAAATGAATGGTAGCTATTTCTACTTCTATTTTGATTATAGATCCTAAATGTTTATTCAGAAATAAATATTTCACTGTGTGTCTGATACCAGCATAGATTTAACTGGATTCAGCCATAATAATGTTTGTTTTGGATATAGCTGCCTTTTCTTAACCGAGAAGTATAGGAGGTAAAACATGATCTCTACATTATAGAAATGTATTAACTCAGCCTTTTACAGTTTATTTATCAAATGACAGTCTCATTTTAACCAGATTATACTATATGCACGTACAAAGTTTTTCAAATTGATCTGGTATTAGCTGTTTTTCTATTTTAAGAGGTAAAGACCTTAATCAGATATAAAAACACAAATATACTTCAATTTACACAAAGAACTAAAGTGAGCTGGAATGTAATTTAAGCAGATATGTGCAGTTTATTTCAATTTAAACTGAATTTAATTCCATACAATTTGATAATTTGAGTCAATTTGAGTCAGATTGATTTGATTTTACACATCAATTAAATTAAGAGCATTCACATTGATAATTTAATTTAAATTGGTGATCTAATTTATGAAGTTGATACCTAATTGCCTTCAGATTAAAACCCTGAAATGAAGCTGTATATTATACCCTAATATTTAGGGTATAAAGGATTATTATATGAACTGTGATTTCCTAAACTTGGCATATTACTAGTTCAGAAATATATTTCAAACAGTTTAACCACAGAAGTTTAACAAATTTAAGTTCTATAAATTTAAAAGGAAAAATAGGCTGAAAGCATGAGTTATTAAACCAAGTACAAATCTTTCTCCCTCATCTTTCATTATATAACTGAATACGAAAACTGGTTCAGTCTCAAATTAGACACTATGAAAGCAGACCGGTTTTTTTCTTTACATGAAAGCAAAATTGTTCACCCATCATGAACAATCTAAATTGTGACAATGCCCAACTATTTAGCTAAAAGAGAAATTTAATGATGTATAAATTGTATACTTACCACTCCCAGATTACCAAAATCTGAACAATTGTTAAATGGCAACAAGGTAATACAACAATCTCTATTTGTTACCATATTTGAAGCCCAGAGATAGTATATGCTTGTCCATTATAATGCAGTAACATATACTGTACACTGACAGCCAGTTTCATGCAAGGGTTAAGCCAACAGACCAGAAGCTGGAAGACCGTGAGTTCTAGTCCTGCTTTAGGCATAAAGCCAGCTGGGTGTTCCTGGGCCAATTTCACTCTATTTTCTCTTAGTCAAAGAAAGGGGCAATGGCAAAAAAATTCTAAAAAACCTTATCAAGAAATTGACAAAGACTTTTCAAGACAATCTCTGAGAATCAGACCCGACTGAACAGAAGGAAAAACAACAATACCTACATAGGATACTGCTAGAAGATGTAGATCACTAAAATACCTGACTGAAGAAGTAACAAGCACCAACTGTACTTTCACCCAAGAAACACTTAGTTGAAGGAGCTGCTGCAGATATATGGAAAGAGAAAATTCCAAAAAATAATAAAATGGATGAGAGAAAATACAAACCTCTCCCCATCCAATATATTCTGTTCTCACACATAATTAGATTTGACACTGTCACATGTATAAATCTTTATACGAAACTAAAATGAAACAAATATCTTCCAGGCTGAAAACTTATCCATGCTTTACTTGGGAGTGAGATCAATGCTAGTTAGTCAAATATGTTCTCAATAAACAAAATTATACTGTAATGCAGTAAGCCCTGAATTTCAGCCTCAGGCAAAGGTGGGGAAGTTTCTTGTTAACATTCTAAAGCATGGCAACATAGTGAATGATGTAAAATATACATTAAGAGATCAACTTTAATCATCAACTTCATACATATTCATATATCACATGGGAATGAATTAGATGCTGAAATTTTGGATCTGGTTGGAATAAAAGATGAAGTAATCATTTAGCACATAAGAGACCTATATATGTTTATGTGTATGATCTGGTTCATATGTTGCATTTAGCCATAGCTTCTTTAATTATGGTTTGCTGAATGAACCATAATTGGCTAGATTCACAATTATCTTTTGATGAGATAATTGACCTGATTCCCTAAAATTTATCTTTGGACTAGATTTAACTCTTTAAAGCTAATAATAATATCACGTTAGGGCTTCTGTCTGATCTGTGAACAATTTTGTTGCTCACTTTTATTGCTTAGGAGCTATAGTAGTGTGCCATCGATTTCCTTTCTATCAGATTCAGACTCTCTGGATTAAATATTTAAATATTTAATAGTGAAATTTAAAGTAGGAGGAATGGCAGCAGTATTATCAATATGCACATGTTAGTATGGCAGTGTTAATTCTATATTTGATTCTTGCTCACCAATAACTTCAAGAAGACCAAAGAACTCAGAAACAATGATATGCTTTGACTGTCTAGTAGGTCCTTAATATAGCATCGATGGCTGGCAGATACCTGCTTTTTTGTTTACTTAATCTCTCTGTTCCCCCCCCCCCGCCCCCCAATTTTGTATTTTCCAAAATTCTATTTGAATTAAGTGGAAAGGTGAAAGGTTGCAGAGTGTCCTGCTTCTGTCCTGTTTCAATTATACAAGTACACACATAGTTGCCATAGAAATTATTAATTTACTCAAGGTAATAGCAGACAAGGAAAACAAGTCTGTGGAATTTGGAATCATAGTCCAATCATGGTTTCCATGTTAAATTTAATTATGACTGAATTTGTGTTTCAAATATGAGTCTGTTTCAGACATATTAATACTATTTCAATGGCCATTCTCCCAACTCTTGAATAATCTTACTGCTATATTGAACTTATATATATTTGTACATTGTGCACTGGTTACAGACTTCAATACTTGGAAAACTTGGTATGAACTTGTTATCGGAAGCAATTTCCAGCTATTGTGTCTGGCTGTTTCAACTGATACTGAACAAGAAAAATTGCAGACTGTATTTCAAGAGTTCGGGTTTTGATAAGCTAGATTTTATTTTATTTTTGCAAAAACAAGAACTAAAATAACTGTTATGAAAAAGTATGACAGAATGTAAGGTCCTTGACCTATACATAAACAAAAATCAAATTAAAATCTTACATTGCATAAATAGGAGAAAGAAGCACATCTCACTTTGGGATCGAAGGAGCAATTAACTGGTGTGTATTGTTATTGTGATGGAGTAGTTTGGTCTTAGCTTCTACCCTTGTCCAATCTAGCCTTTGAATATAGGCAGTGACAGATGTAGCAAATAAGTTAAGTAATAACAGAGGTGGGTTAAGATATTGCATTGCCTAGAGTCCGTACTTGCAAGGGGTCAAGCCCAAAAAATCTTGCCAAACTATTCATTTAAGAGTCCAACATTTATCTATTTCCCCTTTGTGGTGTTCTCAAAAGTATGTCACTTCACTCTACTCCCCAAAAGAACTGATGGAGTAGAGTTGTACGAACATGTTGATAGTCTTTGTTGTGTGTAGGAGGCGGGTCTTATATTGCTTTTGCAATAAAGAGGAAACATTTCATTGTTTTGAAATGATGTGGGCCCATTTTTCTTCTTTTTTGCTTTGACTTGTCATCCTGAGGATAGTCATGAGCGTACAAGTGTCTATGATTGCTCCCATCTGCCATATGGGACTGAGCAAAGAAGAACTTCAAAACGATGATTGGCAGAAGTTAGATCTGTAATGTAAAGCTATCTTTTCAAGCACATACCTGCTAGGCTTGGGGAAAATTTCTATGGAGGAGGAGGTCAGGGAGGCACAAAGCAGATTATTTTCTTCTTGGGTTGCTATTTTTCCTCACTATTGGAAAATCCCTAATGACTGTTTGTTTCTTTCAGCTGATATTCTTAATGCAAAGGTTGACTCCGATATTTTCCTGTTGAAATGGGTAATGAAAACAGCAGCCAAGAAAGTCAGGTGAGTGAAGAAAACATTTTCTTAAAATTACTAAATGTTATAAGTTAAAGGACAAGATTCACAATGGATAAACAAATGCCATTGGTGTGAGTTGAGTGAAAAAAGAGAGATCAAATTGTTTTTCTGTTTGTGCAAAAGTTCCTAATGTAGAAGGCAGAGATCTATGGCACCAAACTATGTGCGCCAGTAATTTTTGAACTCTAAAAAGAAAAATAATTCAGAAAATGCTAGAAATGTCCCATGTTATGATTTGGGCAGTTTAGGGTAGAGTAATATTGAACAGATGGGGGAGAAGGATTACTGGTTTGGAAATATTTTTGAATCCTCTTCAAGATTCTAAATAATATATAGCCAGCAAGATACAGGTAATCCTCAATTTATGATTACAGTTGAGCCCAAAATTTCTGTTGCAAAGTGAGACATTTGTTAAGGCAGTTTTATCCCATTTTGCAACCTTTCTTGCTTTACAACTGTTGAGTTGAATAACTTCAGTTATTAAGTTAGTAACCTGGTTGTTAAGTGCATATGGCTTGGATTTGCTTGTCAGAAGGTTACAAAAGTTGATCACATGACCCCACATGACTGTCATAAATATGAATCAGTTGTCAAGCATCTGAATTTTGATCACGTGACCATGGGGATGTTGCAATGGTTGTTCAGTGTGAAAAGCATCATGTCATTTTTTTAGTGCTATTGTAACTTTGAACGGTCACTATATGAACTGTTGTAAGTTTACCTATATTAGTCAACTTGGATCTGGTAATAGGGAACCAGATCTTTAGAAAAATAGAGTTGTAGAATTCTTGCTCTGTCCCATCAACTCTTCACATTGTTTTTCTGACCTACTCATTTCACTTTGCAGCTTGCATACTCCTACATTCCAAACTTTGTATATTTTCCCCACCCATCAGATTCTGTAGCTGGATTTTCTATGTCAACTATGTAGGAGAAATTAAAGAAAACTGTGCAGTTTTACTGATCTTTCTTTCCCACCCACATATAACCACACAAAATGCTGCAAAACTTTTTATATAGAATCTGAAAATTTCCGAGAATTGCCCAAGTCTTTGTCATCTGTAAAGATTTGATATGTTTTCACTCTTTTTAGGTATTAGTAATACTTGGGGATTCTCTTAGGAGCAAAATGTGTGCTTCCTATATTCTGTAATGTTGAGAGTGAAAATATTGGACCTGAACCTTTCAGAGGAAGGAGAACACAAAATATAGTTAATTGTTTCAAGAATACAAAGCATGGCAGGGTTAATATGAACTTAAATTATTATCAACACTGCAAATTGCACCAAAGCATTGGTTATGCATTATTGAGCAGGACTGGTTCTTTTATAAAGCTTAGTGAGAAGCTTAGTAAGTTGCTTCATAGACTCTGCAGCTTCAAGTTGATATGGACAGGTATAGACATCAAATAAATAATTAAATCCTGTACATACATGCATACCTACATACATAAAGGCTGGAAAAAATAATGGTGTGTTTAGAAAATATTGCAATGCCATAGGTTTGCCATAGGTACAAGGTAAGGAACACAAAGCACAATGAAAACCTCTAATCTCTGCGACACAACTTTATCTTAATATTTAATATTATTGAAAAAGTATATTGTAGAAAATTAAGTTACGGTTCTGAATTTTCTAAAAGTGGGACTTAGTTCCTTTCATGACAATAGATTGGTCATTTGGATTCCTTCTGCCACATTATTACTCCCCTGTCATTCCCCTGAGAGTTTCTACATAAAGAACATTCTGTTAAATTATAATGTGCTAATATATTTCATAATCATTATGTAAGGATAGATAGACAGATGATAAAGGCAGAGACAAACAGACAGACATTGATTGACTGACTGACTGACTGACTGACTGACTGACTCTTTGAATTCTATCTATGAGTTCTATCTTTGAACTCTATTCTATCCAAAGAATAGAATTCTTGGGGTCTTACAGTAAAAAATAATATTGATAAAGATACAATAAAAACAAATAATCCATAAATACAATTATCAAACAGAGCCCATGTATTCTGTGGGTTTTTTGTTGTTTTTCTTTAGTGTCTTCAAATTAGTGTTGACTCTTGGCAATTGCCAGGACAAGACTTTGACTTTTCCTGGCATGAATTTGAGAAATTGTTTGCCATTGCTTCTTTCCTAGAGTTGAGAGAGTATGACTGGCTCAAAATGACCCAGTTGGCTTTGTGCCCACAGTAGATGCCTTAACCACTACACCAAACTGGCTTCCAACATACACTGTTTCAGACGCCAAAATTGTGTTCATACAGGAAGATTAATAGTGAAGCTCTATATAAATTTACTTGCCAAAAAAAAAAGCCTCATTAGCTTAAATCAATCAATATTAGTGAAACTGAAACTCTTGACTAAAACAATTTCAGAATTACTCTAACTACAAATATACTGCTGCAAATAACAATCACATAACTCTTTGTTTCCAGACTATTACTTAGAAAGCTATTTATCTATAGAGGTACAGACTATTTGACTACAAAGCATTATGGTCTATTCAGAGCAGCATTTTAGCAACTGTCTTGTTTTTCGTATCTGGCTACTTTAGCAATTGTTTCTGAAATCAGACTCCTGACACCAGGGGATGGTCCTTTGGTCAACTTCCCAGTGTTCACTTTCAACCACTTATGGAGGAAGTGAGTCCTTTAGAATGAGGACACTGATGTATTTAACAGATGAAGGTTTACGTCTGTGCCAGATAGATTATGCTCTGCCGGCATAGCACAAAAGTACAATGGGAGATGCACAAAATAAAAAAAGTTTTACTACAATTTTTTTTTGCAGGTCTTCATCTGCCTGTTAGCAGTGTTATTAGGAATGGAAACTTGGTGTAATTCATCCAAACTGACTTCCAGCCAAGACACAGAACTATATCATGTTGCAACAACTGCCTTAAAAGGCTGTGTGTTTATAATGAGGAAAGTACTGCAGGAAGAAGACTGCTGGGGGATGGGTGAGAGAAAGAATAGAGAGAAAGGACCTCTGTTAACTTGAACCAATTAAAAATTGCTAAAACTCCCCCGCATCCTTCAGGCTTTCCAAAGGCAAAACTTAAGTTCAAAACCTTTTCTTCCGCCCTCCCCCTTTTCTAAATGACAATTAAATCCTTGGTGATTAATAGGGAAGGTTTGTCATCCTATACACTGATATCATCTTAACAATGACATGATAAGAATTACAAACATAACTTTTGCAGAAATTTGATGGATAAAAGCTTATGCTGTTGAATACTATTTAACAGAATTTGTTCCAATTCACTAATAGACTTTATCAGTAAGATTCCTGTTCTCTTTGTCTATGAGGTTATTTCTATTTAATTTAAAAAAAAAACTTGTTTGAGGAAAATTTGTTTTGAGTTTTTGGATTAGAATAGAAGAGAATAACAGAGTTGGAAGGGACCTTGGAGGTCTTCTAGTCCAACCCCCTGCCTAGGCAGAAAACCCGACACCACTTCAGACAAATGGTTGTCCAATCTCTTCTTAAAAACTTCCAGTGTTGGAGCATTCACAACTTCTGGAGGCAAGTTGTCCCACTGATTAATTGCTCTATCTGTCAGGAAATTTCTCCTTAGTTCTAAGTTGCTTCCAGTGGTGGGATTCAAATATTTTTACCAACCGGTTTGGTAGGCGTGGCTTGGTGGGTGCACTTTATGCACATGCACACTTTGCATGCACGCACGTGCCAAATGTGAATTTGCACAGGCACAGAGGCATTTCTTCTAACTCTCCTCCTGCAAGCCTGCACGATCCCGGTCACTTCAGCAGCTGCCGCGCGGCACTCTTCTGTGCCACGCAAAGCAGCTGCACTTCAAATTCAGCAGATAAAGGTGAGTATGGGAGCCCAGGCGGGCGGGCGGGCCCAACAGCAGAGCGGCAGAGAGAACCGGTTCGATCTCCGCTGCTCATCGCTGCTACCGGCTCTGCCAAACTGGTAGAATACCACCACTGGGTGGTTCCCTCCTTGATTAGTTTCACCCATTGCTTCTTGTCCTGCCCTCAGGTGCTTTGGAGAATAACTTGACTCCCTCTCCTTTGTGTCAGCCCCTGAGTTATTGGAACACTGCTATCGTGTCTCCCTAGTGCTTCTTTTCATTGAACTAGACGTACCCAGTTCCTGCAATTGTTCTCCATGTATTTTAGCCTCCAGTCCCCTAATCGTCTTCGTTGCTCTTCTCTGCACTCTTTCCAATTGTTTGATTGTTCAGGCTTATTTTATTCTTGCTCTCAAAAGGATAGTACACACATTACAGCAATGTATTTATTTCATTATAAAACAAGAATACATTTAATATTACTGCACTGCAGGTATAAAACAATGGTAGTATAAATATCAATTCTGGGAATCATTATATACTCTTTGATTAATGTAATGTTTTTATGCATGCTCTTGAGATTATGGCTGTTCCTTTATAATCATGTTTTCTTAAGCAACCCAGTTTTCTAAGTTCATATATTGGAGTGAATAATAATAGTACCTACACGGGGTAAGTCTTCACAGCATATTAGACTAAAATACCTAAATTTTGAGTGCTACCATTTATATATATATATATATATATGTGTGTGTGTGTGTGTGTGTGTGTGTATGTGTATACACACACATACATACATACATACACACTGTGTATATACATGCATTGTTTCTGTGTCTCATATAAATTTATGAAAATTGGGTACTGAATGGAAAAGTTCTATTTGCCTACGCCACTGGGCCTGCCCCAAACGACAACCTTCATAAGTCTCCTTAATCAGGGTCAACCAGGGTCATAATAGTAAGTCCAAAAAAAAAAATATGACTTCCCCTTTCTGTAATCTGAAGAACATTTTACTATCTTTTAACCCAGTATCTGGTAGAATCTACACTCTAGAGAGGCCAAGCATATTATATTCTAAGGTATATTATGAGATTACAATCATACCTACAAAGTATAATTTGGCTACCCCCATAACATTTGCTTAAAATATTAATTTTATTAAGAACACGAAATAGCAATGAAAAACAAGGAATCGGTGTTAGTCTTAAAGGCTTAAGCTTCAGAGATATTTAGAAAGGGCAACACAGGTAGATCCATCTAAGACGTGATGCCAGCTTAAACAAACTTATCTTTGAAAGAAACAGAACATTTCCTTTGAGCAGAAAATAAAATCAAATTTAATGCTACTCTATCTGGTTACTAATCCCCTCTAAAAAATGTATGTGAGTTAAATTTCTTGCATCACAAAAGATTTCATTACATTGCTTTAGTAGCAGAATTCTTAATTAGTATACAGGTGAAACTCAAAAAATTAGAATATAGTGCAAAAGTTCATTTATTTCAGTAATGCAACTTAAAAGGTGAACCTAGTATATGAGATAGATTCATTACATGCAAAGCAAGATAGTTCAAGCCGTGATTTGTCATAAGTGAGATGATTATGGTTTACAGCTCATGAAAACCCCAAATCCACAATCTCAGAAAATTAGAATATTATGAAAAGGTTCAATATTCTAGGCTCAAAGTGTCCCACTCTAATCAGCTAATTCAGCCATAACACCTGCAAAGGGTTCCTGAGCCTGTAAATGGTCTCTCAGTCTGGTTCAGTAGGAATTACAATCATGGGAAAGACTGCTGACCTGACAGTTGTGCAGAAAACCATCATTGACACCCTCCATAAGGAGGGAAAGCCTCAAAAGATAATTGCAAAAGAAGTTGGATGTTCCCAAAGTGCTGTATCAAAGCACATTGATAGAAAGTTATGTGGAAGGGAAACGTGTGGAAGAAGAAGGTGCACAAGCAGCAGGGATGACCGCAGCCTAGAGAGGAGTGTCAGGAAAAGGCCATTCAAAAGTGTTGGGGACTTTCACAAGGAGTGGACTGAGGCTGGAGTCAGTGCATCAAGAGCCACCACACACAGACGGATCCTGGACATGGGCTTCAAATGTCGTATTCCTCTTGTCAAGCCACTCCTAAAGAACAAATGTCAGAAGTGTCTTACCTGGGCTAAAGAAAAACAGAACTGGTCTGTTGCTCAGTGATCCAAAGTCCTCTTTTCTGATGATAGAAACTTTTGCATCTCATTTGGAAACCAAGGACCCAGAGTCTGGAGGAAGAATGGAAAGGCACACACTGCAAGATGCTTGAAGTCCAGTGTGAAGTTTCCACAGTCTGTGTTGATTTGGGGAGCCATGTTCACTGTGCTTCGTTAAGTCCAGGGTCAATGCAGCCGTCTACCAGGAGATGCTTCCTTCTACAGACGAGCTTTATGGGGATGCTGACTTCATTTTCCAGCAGGACTTGGCACCTGCCCACACTGCCAAAAGCACCAAAACCTGGTTCCATGACCGTGGGATTACTGTACTTGATTGGCCAGCAAACTCGCCTGACCTGAACCCCATAGAGAATCTATGGGGCATTGCCAAGAGAAAGATGAGAGACATTAGACCGAACAATGCAGAAGAGCTGAAGGCCGCTATTGAAGCATCCTGGTCTTCCATAACACCTCAGCAGTGCCACAGGCTGATAGCTTCCATGCCATGCCACATTGAGGCAATCATTGCTGCAAAAGGGGCCCAAACCAAGTACTGAGTACATATGCATACTTATACTTTTCAGAGGTCCGATATTGTTCTATGTACAATCCTTGTTTTATTGATTGCATGTAATATTCTAATTTTCTGAGATTGTGGATTTGGGGTTTTCATGAGCTGTAAGCCATAATCATCACAATTATGACAAATCACAGCTTGAACTATCTTGCTTTGCATGTAATGAGTCTATCTCATATATTAGTTTTACCTTTTAAATTGCATTACTGAAATAAATGAACTTTTGCACGATATTCTAATTTTTCAAGTTTCACCTGTATATATAATGTGTGTGTACATAAGTGTGTTTATATATGGATATGTGTATGTATGTGTGTATGTATGCATATGTATATGCATATGTATATATGTATATTTGTGTGTGTGTGTATAAGTATATATCTACATATGCACAATACTTTGAAAGTTCTCTCTTTTCTTCAGCAATATGCTTTTTCAAGAGAAATTCAAAAGAACCCAAATTCCCAACAAATTTGTTCCTTGCTATTTCATTTCAAGGAAAGGGGAAATATTCTTGCTCATAAATTTAACAAACCAACTTTTATACACATATTATTAGAGGGACAGAGGATTAACCTATAAGTCAGTTTTACATATCATATGATCTAATGGGAATTTTCATAAGTTATCATTACTAGAGGTACCAGTTACATAAGGGAACTGTGTATAATGTAATCACATATACAATCATTGAAGAATACAGAATAAATGAAAGAAACTATTCTTTCAGATCACTCTCTAAAACTTCATTTAAGACAGTAATGTAATATTAGCTTCAGATCATCTGTGCTTGCATTTTCATTCTTGAATGATTTCTTGCAACTTAAAACACTCATACTCCAAAGTCTAAATGGGTTTATAATTAAAATGTGTTAGTGCAATTTCATATCTGTCTTTTTGATTTTTAAAATGATATCAACTATTTCAGTCTAATCAAACTACAAGTACAGAACACAATAGTTTGTTATAGATGGGCAACATTTTAGGGTTTGGGAGCTGCAGGCAATCTATCATCCTTTCAGGGGGCAAAGGAAACTGTCCAGTATTGTGTTGTTGGCTCTGCAATGGGAGAGGATGATTGCTTTCAGTCTAATTTTGGGGTTCCTTGGGATTTTAAAAGTTGGAATAAGAGTGATGAACTAGCAAACTTCCTATTCATCTTACCCTTGAAACCTTAAATGTGAGTTAAACCTTCTGTTTTCAGGGAAGGTGTTGGGATGTTTTCCATACTTAAGAGTTATATAAGAGAAAAGGAAAAAAATCCTACAGATTACTGAGTCTGCCATAAACTTAGAAGCCTCCTATAGTCCATGGTTCTCAAACAATAATGTTTTATTCATAGACAATATGATACTAAAGGAAAGAAAAGAAAACCATATAATGAGTAGGTACAATATAGGAGATTAAACACATCCTCTAGTTGGGTGTCTTTATCTCTAAATGATAATATCCATGTAATTATCTTGACCATTCAGAAGAGGTTACTGCTATTGTATTTTTCCACAAAGGCTTTTACTTTTCTACTCTGACTTACAGCTTTGAAATAGTCTTTCATCTCTAACTAAACTCAACTTATTTAGCTTTGAAGCACAGAGAAGGTAGGCTAGGGGTTGTCACCTGCCATTCACAATTGGATTGCATGAAGTCAGACTTATTGTTGTGTATTATGCCTTAGAAAATATTAAGCCATATTGAAAGGGGAAAATTCCAACCAAATGCTCCTCAGATATCCTCCTGTCAAGAATGTATATTAATTCAACTGTCCATGGTTAGGAAGAAACATCATAAACCTATGGTAGTCTAAATGAAAATGATAATCCAATGGGAATCACAATTCAAAATAAGATGTTGAAGCACTGTGTCCAATATGATTAGTATCTGTACTTACTATATTGTTTAAGCATTATATTTTGTATGCATATTATTCTTAATATTTCAGTTTACTATTACAATGGCCTAACAAATTCCTACTGAAGCTGAAGGCTTTCTTTGAGACCGACAGATCATAGTTTCATGTTTTTTTAAAATGTACCTGAAAGTTTGAAATAAAATACAAAAATCACAAGTCTATTACAATAAAGACAATAGAAGTATTATATGAAGTAATCTTTACAATGGTATAAATTTCTTGTTATGTAAGTACTACTGACAAGTTACCCTCATTCTGAAGTATATTTTTTAAAAAGCACAGCCTTTTCTCCTCTCTGCTGTACTAATAGATTTCCTGGTCAAAAGGAAATGGTCAATAGGCTGGAAAAAGAGATAAGGATATATCTCTGAGGGCCAGCTAAGAGTGTCATATATTTCTTCTCCTCAAACAACACCATAATTCCAGACCTTTATTTTATGATTATTTGCTTATTCATTATTTGTCTTTGAACAACATTAAAATAAGACATTTATACAGGATACAATTTTTATTTTGCTATTTAAAAAAGAAGTATTGGTTGTTTGCTTTTTAACTAAAACTCATGTTTTGTTTTCTTTTCCCAGGAGAGCCCTTCAGTTCCAAAATCAACAGAGCCACTTAATACTGAGAGAGAAACAAAAACTAAAAAGTCAAGGAAAAAGAGCAGAGATAAATCACTCAATCAAGATGACTTGGACACGTTACCATCAGATTCTGCAGTTTCATTACCACTGCCAGATGATAGTTTCTCATTAACTGCAGAAGATACAAGGTAGGCAGAATATGTTTTTTCTTTGTTAGTGAAGTAAGTAATTGGAAGGCATAACACATTTAAAGTTGCCAGGAAGTTGTTGCCTGGGGAATCTACTCCAGTAACTCAACTAACATTACAAATTAAACGTCACTTATTACTCAATTAACTCCTTTTATATATCCATGGGCAATACAAGAACGTAATAGAATCCTATTAATATCATTTCAGTACATGCATATGATGACCGAAGCTATCTTATCCAATGTAGCACTTTGGAATTAAGGAACAGGACACATTATTTTGAATGAAGAAAGAATCAAATAATGACCTGCTTTATGTGGTACTACAACTAAACTACAAAGTGCCATAAGATCCCAAGTCCAGTCTGAGAAGCTGGACAGATCATTCCATATCTTCATCACTGTGGGAAGAGACCAAAGGCATATTTTTTTTAAAAAAAGGATGGGGAGATATAAAAGTTCATTGATTTAAATCACAAATGTCTGAATACCGTGATAATATTGCGTGCCAAATTGATTTTTCCATTTTAAATTTGGTGTTAAGAATTGTGAATGTGTTCCTTTTTCTACAACCCCTTTTCTTTTTCTGGCAGTGGAAATTGGCCTCTAGTGTCTAACTTGGAGGAAAGGGAGTCCCATCAATCCCTAATCCCAAATACTCTATTTGCTGGAATTGATATAAATGAAGATTTAAGGACCCAGAATCCTCTCCTGAGCAGGTATAGCTAATTTAAGAAAATATCCTTGTTTTTTGTGTAATTATGAATTTGGATTTGCATCTTGTTTATGGATTTTAAAAAAACCCAAACATTCTGGCCTTTTAAGCCTTCTTTACATTGTTTTTGACTGTTTATTAGATTTGGGCTTTCTAAATGACAGAGTGCTGCCTGACTTCTGCATGTTTCTGAAGCCTCAGTCTTGGTTTTCTTACCTTTTTGTTTTTAATTGTTTTGTTTGTTCAAAAAGTAAAATGCATTAATGAGGAAATGCAGTACAAGTCCGTTAGCTTACTGAAACCTGAATTTTCACACTCTCATGATTTTAAACCACATAAAGCAAAGTGTGGAAACACTGCAATTGGAACAGAATTATTTTTGTTACACCTGCTAGTTTTCCATTGTGAAAGATTTCTTGTTCTTAAAAACTCACTTATTTTATAAATGTGTATGTTTCCTGAGACACATTGCTCATGTAAAATGATAAATAAAAATTGCACAATGATAAAATTTTCCTTTACAAGCAAGTTACAAACCACTTCTAATGGCCTGAATTTCAAGAACCCAAGTTTTTTAAAGACACAATAACTCCCCTCCATATGTTAAGTGCATGAAGTAGAGATAACATATGTAAAGAAGACATTCTCCCTTCATTTGAAGAGCTTATCTCCCCCTCACCTTCTTATAACTAGTTTGAGCACAAATGTTTAGAAAGAGAAATGTTGGTGTATTTGTTGTTGAGATTACGATTCCTTGTAGGTTTTCCATTTTGGTCTAAATTCATGCTGGGTAGCGATTGTAAAACTTCATAACATACATAACAATGGCTGAGTTTTATGTTACTTGTATTTTGGAGTTACTACCAACATCTCTTAAACACTAAAAAAAAAAACCTTAGGAAACCAAAATTGTTAATTCATGTTCATTCTCTTTCATATTTCAAAATACATAATGCATATTCTTCACATACAGTATGTAGTGAAGCTGTGACTTTCAATATAATGCCACATTGGCATAGGTAATACTGAAATCTACTATGAAGTAAATTTAGTATCTTCTGAAAATCACTAGTTTCCAACCCCTCCCTAGATAAAAAAAAAATTTAAATAAAATTTTCCTTTATTAAACAAACAAACAAACACAAACAGAAATTACAATAAAAATCTTGAACCTGGTACAGTCTTCCTAATATCAATCTTTGTCATTACTTTGCTAAATCCAATAATAATATTACATAATTTCATTCCATATACATTAAATATACATATAATCATTCCTTATTTGCATGAATCTTCCTCATCTCTAGCCAACCATAAAATTTGTCCAATGTTTTATAATAATCCGAATCCTCCTTATTAGTTTATCCTTTGTTAGTTTATCCATTTCTGTGCATCTCATCAATATTTCAAATTCATTTGGGATATCTTTACTTTTCCAATTCTGTGCATACGCCTCTCTACAGTTATCACATGGATTATTAGATATATATTTTCTTTACCATATTTCCTCATATTGATCCCCAACAGAAAGAACTCTGGTCTATGTTCTATTTTCATTCCACACATTTCTTCTATCCAGTTGTGTAATATTTGCCAATATTTTTGGGCCTCTAGATAAAATTTTCTGCATGTTAATCTAGGTATTCATATAACAGTTAGAGAAATTATCCCAAAATGATGATGTAAAATTTTCCACATTATCTACAAGGAGATACATTGATATTCCAATATTATGACATCACCTAACAAAATGTGAAATGTTTACAGCTGGCTAAATTTTGTTAGTTTAATGTTCATACTTTGAATAAACATGAGGAACTGGATTGAAATATAATATAAAAGGACTCTTGATATTAAGTATGTTGTGATTGATGCAATTTAGCATGTTGAATTCTCTCCTCACACCAAAATCTGATTTTATCAGTAAGTCTCCTAATCTTTATCAAACAGCAGTCAGTGTGGAAGACCAGATGGGTCATAAATTTTTAAAATCAAATTATATTTGTTACTCCTAAAGTATTTAGGAGTATTTATTGTGCTAATAAAATATAAATAATTATGAGCAGGTCTATTCTGGCATATCCTCTTTTGAAACCTTAAATTTCAGCTTGGACAGGGTTTATTTGGCAGTGTGCTTCACTGATTATAATCAGAGACTTACAAAAGTATACAGTTGGTGCAGTGGTTAGAGTGCAGTAATTCTGCTGACTGCCAAGAGTTCGATCCTCACCAGTTCAAGGTTGACTCAGCTTTCCATCCTTCCATGGTCAGTAAAATGAGGAGCCAGATTATTGGTGGCAATATGTTGAATCTGTAAACCACATAGAGGTGTATAAGTCTATATAAGTCTAAGTGCTATTAACAACATCAGTATGGACTTGGGATTTTGTTGTAATCATCTTTTTCTATTTATTAACATCTGACACTATTACAACTTGTATTTTATTTGGAAAGGACACTGAGGAGAATCTTTTAAAGTTAACAAACAAATCCTTAGAATAAATTACTATATTCTACATACTAATATTCTTCTTGTTACTGTGCTTTTCAACAGCTGTAAATGTATATATGTGTATACACAAATACACACACACATACACACACATATGCACACACATACATACTGTATATTTATTCTGAAGAATATAACATCACACTGTTATATTCTTCAAATTTACTAGGTTACTTGCCAATATTTTTTTTCTTTTTAACATGATGTTCAAATCACTCTTCCACACATTCATTATTTATAAGTTCCATGTAACATCTTTGCCATATCATCTTCTATTTCGTCTTTTAAACCCATTTTATAGTACATGTAATTTTAGGAGAAAGTTATATATTGTTGCCAAATTCCCTTGAATTCCTCCAAAATTAAAATACTTTCCTTTATTTTATATTACTGCATCTCTCTGCCACTTATAATCTTTAGTTTTTCTCTGTTCCTGTTACCAGCCTTCAGGGCAGTGGTGGGTTTCAATTTTTTTTTACTACTGGTCCTGTGGGCGTGGCGTGGCAGGAAAAGGATACTGTAAAATCTCCAGTCAGAGGTGGTACTTGCCGGTTCTCTGAACTACTCAAAATTTATGCTACCGGTTCTCCAGAACCGGTCAGATCCTGCTGAATGCCACCTCTGCTTCACGGTCTCCTCTAATCATATATTTTTCTAATCCACAACACTTTCCTACAGAAAGTTTCCTTACATTTAAAATTTTATGTATTCTTAATAGAATTTTAAACAGCCTGTAGGAAGTATTCTTAAAATTACTTCAAAGTTTTATTTCCAGTCAATCTGGCCCCTTAGTCCATTTGTAACTTTTATTTCAGCTTAAAAAATCTTTAACTTTTTAACCTCACATAAAACTTTTGCTGAGGTTTGAAGGAAAATTACATCATGGCCAGTGGTGCATTTCAAAATAGTTTACCACCGGTTCGGTGAGCGTGGCTTGGTGGGTGTGCTTTGAGTGCGCGTACACACTTTGCACAAGTGCAGAGGCTTTCCAACTCACCTCCTGCAATCCTGCACTCTCCCTGTCACTTCAGCAACTGACACGCAGCAATCTGCTGTGCTGCGCAAAACAGCTGCACTTCAAAAGCAGGGAATGAAGGTCAGTATAGGAGGCAGGATGGGCGGGTGGGCCCAACAGCTGTTCCAGCAGCTCCTCAGAGAGAAGCAGTTCGGTCTCCACCAATCTTTGGCGCTACCAGTATGCCAGAACCAGGCTGAACCAGTAGTATACCACCACTGATCATGGCGTAATGAAACTTGCCCTTCTAAAGCAAAGGTGCTTTTTCAAGAGGCAATTGGACTTTCTGGATTTTCTTTGAAGACATTTCGCTTCTCATCCAAGAAGCTTCTTCAGATGAGAAGAAAAACGTCTTCAAAGAAAAATCAGAAAGTCCAGTTGCTTCTTTAAAAAGCACCTTTGGGACAAACATTGCCTGGATGACTGAGAATCACCATAGACATCTGCCCTTCTGAAGGTTCTTAATATCCCTAAAGCAGTTAATAAACCATTTCCAGAAGTGATTAAGCAAACCCAGTGTCCATTTAAAACTGCCCTATATGAGACACTATAAAATCTGCCAGACAGTTTCAACAGTCATTTAGCAGGAAGCCTCTGTGAGATGCCTTGGTGCCTTGGGGAGGATACCTGGTCCTCTCCCTCATCTGAGACGAGTTTGGGGAGCTCTTTTCTTCTCGGCCCTTGTAACTGCTTTCTATAGGGCAATCTTCAGTTCTACAATGCTTCTCTGGAAGTCCGATCGTGTGGACATTTCTATTTCTTCAGATGCTTCTTAGTACTATATTGTTTCTTAAGTTTGAGTATGAAAAATGGTACTCAATTCATTTGAACAATGCAAACCAATTGCTGGAGGTCTTATGAATATTTTCCCTTATCAGTGTTGCAGTAAGCTAATAGTCTTACGGAATTCTGAAAGTATTTCTAAATTTCTTTTCATCACTCCAGCTATGATATTAGGTCCAATGGCATAATGGTATGTGCTATATTTGAAAGGAAATGCATGTTTGCATGGCAAATCAAACTTTATGTGCAGCATAATTTGTTTTGTGTTTGTTCTCATGAGGCACCTCAATGTATTTAAACATACTCTCTAATCATCTAAAATTGGTAAAAAGTACACATAACGAAATGTCTGGCTGACAGTAGCATATATTTCAAATAAAAACAGCAAGGGCGTTTTTTGAAATGATATTAAAACTGATTCCTGTTTGCATAAGAATATTTGAGAGTAAACCGAAATCAAAGGCAGTAGCACCAGCATATTAAATAGTCAATTATAGCAATGTCCTGTCTCAGCATGTGACTCAGGATTCATTTGGAGTTTGGAAAGGACACTCCTGTTGACTTTCAATGATGTGTCATGAGTCACATTGCAAAAACTAGGTGGAACCAGAACAAGGAAATGGATCTTACCAGAAAGAAGCTAAATTAAAATTTCATTAATACTGTAAATATTTTTAAAATAAAAAAATACTATTTCAGGTTAATTAAATTATTTCTCCCTTGTTTGTATTAATAATTATAACTTAGTGGTAATTTTTGCAGTGGCTCTGAGGGTTTTACCCAACGCATGAAGTTCTGAGGTGTATTGTACACTCTAATTACACACTAGGTACTAAATATAGAGTTGTTTTGATTTATAGAAAATCATTGATCAGATCCGTAAGTTTTAAATCTACTAAATTGAGTGGAATATTCCCAGCCAAGTACTGTGGCCACCACTCTACTTGAAGACTTTGTCTATTTTTGAAGTCTAGGAAGGCAATAAAAAGAGAAACTTTACTAAATTCCTAGTGAGTTATATTACAGTGCTGGTAATCTCTATTTAATCTCATGTCTTGTAACTTTCTTGAATCTGAACTTAATTGCTTTCGGGGCAGAATACAGTATTCTCCATTTTTCTAGTGAAAGTGCTACGGTAGTACAAAGTTTGCATTCCCAGCTACTGAAATACATCGGCATTCATAAAACAGTTGGACATACAGCAAATATGAAGAGGTCAGATTATGTGGAAGTCAAGATGGAAGTACCTCACAAGTATAGGCCTACCAGATCTGGGCTGCAACAATCCAGACCTCAAGATTGCAGCAAAATGTTATCCTGAACTTTGCTGCCCTCTAATGATCATCTGCATTTTTGCAGGCAAGATCTGCTAACTGAGGGGAAAATTGATGTTAAGTACCAAGAAACAACTGCTCAGTGTCAGTTTAAGAATGACACTGGGATGATAGTAGGCAGAAAATGGCTATCAAATTAAGGAAATGATACCAGCTTAAGATTGTTTCACTGGAATAAGTTAGAAAAACATGTAGAATAAGAATCAGAATGTTATTTGGCCAGGCTTTCTAGTATATGAAAATACTTAGTATTTTAATTTGTCTTCAGAGTAAAAAAGCATATCATGAATTGATAAGGATCCTACACATTTGTTCAGAATTCAGTATTGCTACACTCATTGCATTTATTCCATAGTAAATTGGTTTGGGATCTAAACTGTAACTTATTACACACAGAAAGCTGCAATATAGAAGTCTAATTGAGGTACATCCAAATGGTATTTTTTGACTGTTGGAGCTATATAATTGCCAGAATTACCATTGACAATTTTGACAGTTACAGTCGCTTCATACTTGAGAAGCACAAGACTGGGAAATGGTGATCTAAATTAAACTTAAACTGGAAGAGTTTTGAAATCCAGAGACCATGGTCAATCCCTATTACTAGGTTTTCATCTAAAATTCAGTTCTGCTCTGACAAATTTTCTCTATTCTGTACTCAAAATCAGGATTAATTTTAAGTCTATCATGAACATCAGATGAACCAACAGCCAATTCCATAAATTCAAATGTCTCATACAATAGCACAAAATACCGTTGTTGTGGACAGTATAGGAGATGAAAGGAATATTATGTATGTTCACCTCCTTGAGCTACTTATAAAGTAACAAAGGCAGGATAAAAATCAAATCAATAAATAAATGCTACAGAATACATTTGCATCTAATGATTCTCTTCCTGAGATTGTATATCATTGATGCCTCTGACTTCTTGCCTCATGAAAGCAGACCAATAGCTTTTCAGTGCATGTGCATGTATGGCTTTCAAACTTCTGTGATGTGCAATTTATTGCCAAATTGAAATGAATAAATGTTTCCATTGTTGGCAGCCTAAACAATGAAAGCCTCTATAGTATCACTGCTGAAGAATCAACCAATGAAAACGCTGTTGTGGCACATCCAGATGTGATGGAGAACAACCTGCATGAGGGAGATTCCTTGGGAGCCACTGAAGAAGGAGGACAAGATCAAAGGCAACATATGCCAACGCTTTCTGAGCATGGTGAAGAATGCACTGCACTAAGTTTTGAAAGTAGTACTGAAGGCTTGCCAGCCATGAGGTCAAACCCTTCTATTGTGAATGATAAAGACACCAGAATTGTACCTCTTGTTAGTGAAAAAACAGATGCTGAGTGTTATGCAACTACTTTTGCAAGAGAGTCTGAGAAAGATCCAAATAATACTGCTTTGGAGCATATTCCTTCATTAGATTCTGCTTGGACATCAGAACCTGAAACCGAGGAAAGCAATTCCAGGGAATTAGATTCATTGCAACACAGTGAACTGTTGATTGAAGGAGACAAGACACACATTGTTCAGCTGCCTAAGAGTGAGAAAGGCAGAGATTCTTATACCGCTAAAGAAATCAGACAGGAGAATAAATTAAAAGTGAGTAACAAGGAAGAGGCTTTAATAAAACCAGTGGGACTGAACACAGGTAGTGTAGGCAACCTGGTAATGAAAAAAGAAAACTGTATTCCAAATAATCTCATAACAGAAAATTCAGACATGAATAAATATGGTACATCTGTTATTGATCAGAGCCTTGTTGAGTTCCGAGGTGTCATCAGTGAAGACAGCAAAAGTGAAGTGAATATTTGGAACAATCAATTCCAAATATTTCCACAAAAGAGTACTAAGGTGCTTGAGGATCCTCCTATTGTATCCACCTTATCCTCAAACACAGCAAACCTGTTACCACTAACCAAGACAGAACTAATCGGTGACTTTTCATCTGAAAAAGAATGGCTAGAAGAAGCTATAAATCCAGAACCAAACACCTATTGTGTGGATTTACCAGTTAGCATAGAACCTTCTGATACATCCTTGTTGCCAGAAAATAAAAACAAAGGGCAAAAAGCAAATACATCTCAGAACACAGCAGAACAGATGAGCAGCAATGAAATCACACAAACTGAATCTATGAGCAGGGTAAATACAGCCTTAGCTGACCCAGAAAATGTTATGTATACGGTGAAGGAAGAATCTGTTGGGGATAAGCTATTGTTACTTGACAGCAGAACAAGACATTTCATGAGTGAGAGTGACCTTGCTGAGTATAATAAAGAAGAAACTATAATAGCTGAAAAATATGAACATATGTCTTCCAGAAATGAAGAAGATGGATGTCAAGAGGTGCCATCCTCAAGGCAGGTTATGCATGAAGATATAAACTGTCCCCAAGAGACACCACTAACTTTTGAAATGAATTCAAGTCCAGATGCTATCTGGTATGATCATTGGAATTCTCAAGTAAGTGGCTTAGAAACCAACATCAGTAGCAAATTTCTAGAAAGCAACCTCAGTTCAGAATGTAATTTGAATATACTCAAAGATCATTCACCAGAATTAAGCGAGAACTTGGAGCAAAAAACCACAGCCATAAATGGAAAAAAAGTGCCCAGTCTTGAGTCACCTGAACTATTACTTTTGCAAGGAAAAGACAGCTTGAAGACTTGTGATCTTTCAAATCCCAGCGTAGAAGATATTCAGCTCTGCTTTCCAGTCAATAAAGAGATAGAGGATGCTGATGGATCACCGTCTCTGCCTCCTGAAGACAATGATGTTCTGCAAAATAAAAAAGAGGAATCCTGGGAACAGCCATTTGCTCAAAACGCCAAATTGGGATTGGAAGATGAGTTGATGGATGAAATAAATTCAGAGACTAATACCTCAAATGCAGAAATAATTGCAGTGTCTAAAATGGAACTTGAGTTCCACAACTTAAATGAACAGGCTAGAAGTGCTGAATGCGTTGCAACTGAGAAAATAAACATACTAGAGGATGAATCCCACTCTGAAAGTAAAAGAGGTGCCTCAACAGCTGGCAGTGACCCAAACTCTGTACCTGTGACTACTGCTGAACAAGTCAGTGCTGTGGGGAAGAATGACAGTAATGAAGCAAGGCAGGAGAAATGCAAAACAGAGACACAAAAAAAAGAAACTGACACAACTTTGGCACAAGAAACCCATATCAAATTGGACTCCACACAGCAAGTGCAGCTGGAACAAGCAACTGAAGAAAATGACCCTAGTATAAAACATGATTATTCTGGCAACCCTTTAGTATCAGCAGTTGGAACAGAAACCAGTCCCCAGTCATTAAAGCTTGGAGACTTAGGTGATAATAGCATAAAGGCAAACTATTCGCCATTCATGAGCACTAATTGCAAAGAATTTTTGGAAACTCATTCTAAAGACACTGTGGAAAATCAACCGATGCTGGGCATTTTAATAACATCTCCCAAAGTGCAGTCAAACAAAAGCTCAAAGCCCTTTGGCACTGTCTGCAAGGCAAGTGAAGGCGAACAGTGCGTTTCAAACCCAGAAGCTAAAGACCTGGATCGCAATGGTTTTCAAACAGTTGCAAGTTTCCAGGAACAGATCTCTGACCAGACATCTCCTGAAAGGGTACACCCATTGGAATCAAATCTTTTCAGTGGCCATGGGGAGCTTGATAAAAGTGAACTACAACAAACTGGAGACAATCTACACAAGCTCCAAACAGTACTTGGTGGGCCAGAGACAAAACCAACGACTCTATCAAATGATGATGCATCTTTAACACATATTTCTGAATTTGTGGGAAACGCCTCACAAAACAACAACCTGCCAAATGTAATAAACCCACTGGGGGAAGAAAGTTGTCTTAGCAAAGAAACCTTAAGCAACTTAAAGCAAGATGTTTCTAATTCTCTGTTTTCAGATGGGGTTTGTGAAGGAGCAAGGCAGAGTGGGGCATTTGCTGAAAACTCTATTATAATTAAACAGTTGGGTGGCTTAGATGAACTTTCAGACAGCAAATGCCCAAGCAATACGGACGTTACAGAGTTTATTCCAGTGACGCAGAAAACTGTTAGTGTCAGGACTGAACAGGCACACACCGTGCAGGGGAATTTAACCTGTGTAGGTGAACATTCTAAGGACAATGGGACTGATGTTAATTTACCAAACAAAGGAGCAGACTTGGATGGACAAAGTTTACATACAGAGGTAGAACGCCTAAGTTTAGTAAATGAAACTATTTGGAACGAAGAGCAAGTAACTTGCAAACGGGACGTAACTTTCCTGCCTTCTGAAAACAGAGGAATGAATGGACATGCTCCTGAATTACCTAATAGCCCAGAAATTCCTTTGAGTGATGCTTGGCATAAAACATGTCCTGTTGAAAAGACTGACATTCTATCTGTTAGCTCTCAAGCAGAAGCAACACCTCTTTCAACATTGGCATTTCTACATGATGGGCCCAGCCAAGTAAATTACCAACCTACAGATTTTATGCATCATAGCCCTAAAGGTGAATTTCAAAACAGTGAGCTGGAAACTGTGGCATGTCAAGATATCTTTGACACAACTCCCAGTCTGCAGACTCCGCCTGCTACAGCCATCGACTTAAATGATGTTTTTGTAGAGAACAGCACAACCCATCAAAGGAAACTAGGAGTAATGAATTTAGATGATATTCCTTCAGAAGCTGTCCCAGGAAAAGAATCTTACATGCCAGGCCAAGAGCTCCTTTCAGAAGAGCATGTTCTAACCTTGGAAGATGTTTCTGAGATCAAGCAATCGGAAAGAAATTTGTCACCCTTTAATTTCAAGAAGCTGCAGGATGAGATCTCGGCAATTAAGCTAAAAGGGGATAAAAGTGATGCACATTTCAAAGCCCAGCAGCTTAACAGCTCAACAGAATCTCCACTCAGTCATTCAAGTTTAGAAAGGAAGCTTTTGGAACTCTCAATGCTTGATAAGCAAGCAAATTGTAAGGAGGACGCTGCAACAAATATAAGTTGTGAAGATAACAAGCATGGTAAGATTGAAGAAGAAAGCAAAGGTGACTTGATAGAGAAGTTCAACCTTCCCAAGATGGAAGGAAATGTTCCCAGGCAGCCTACAGCAATATCTGAAAAAGAACCAGAAATTTCATCATCTAGGGCATTCAGCATTGGCTTTTTCGATTTCAGGAAACATATTAGCAAAATATTTGAACAGGTAGTACCAAATGTCATGCCTGCCAACTTGCCTAACCTTGCCACTGAACAGAGTCCAAGTGAGAAGGTAAGACCAGAGGATAAAGAAACAAAGGTTAAGCAAGGTCTGGAAGAAGTTGAAAAAAGCAGCGCAGATGGAGATCAAGAGAATGACTGGAAAACAAACAAAAGCACATTTCCTTTGGAGACTGAAGTCTGTAACAAAGCCACTGAAGAGAAAATAGCACAGGAACAAGAACAGACAGGAATGCTGGAAAATAGTCAGGAATATGATTTGCCAAGTGCCTTTTCAGAAAAGATTCCTATCGACAAATATTGCTTAAACGAAAACTCTCTTGCAACTTTCCCCAAGTTAGTTAAGGTGGATGGCTTATGCAGTCATGAAATAAATGCAGAGGTTAATGGTCATATTTGCTCTTTAAGCAGTGATACTTCAGAGAACCAAGTTTGCACAGAAAAAGTAGAATTTCCATCTAGAAGTTCTGGAAACCAAGAAATGGACAATCTGCCATCTTCTAAAAATGAAGAGTCTTTAATAATTCCTGCCTCTACAGAAGTTGTTCCAGATTTTGATGCCACAGTCACTGCTGCTGAAGTAAAGGAAGATAACTTAATTGGTCTGTGTAACTTTGAAACAGATGAACCTAAAGAACAGTTAATGTATGATGGATATAAAAACACAGACAAAAGAAATGATGGCAATACAGATCGAGCCAAGAATTTAACATTGCCATTTCCTATAGGTGATTTGGAGGGTCATAAAGAACAAACAGATCAGCCCAGGATATTGCTTGGTGAAAATCCTAATTTTTCCAATGAATATACATTACAGAATAAAGCTATTACCATACTGGATGACATAGAAAGCAATAACTGGTTGCAAAAATCCATAGAGGAAGAGAAGAGACAGGACACAGCAGAACATAAGCTAATTACTTATTTTAAAAATGAAATAAGTCTTGATCACTCACCAGATGAGTCCAAATTGAGATCCAACAGTGTTCAAGATAGTTCAAGTGTAGAAAAAGCAAATGACATCAATTTGAGGACACCAGAAGGACCAGGTTTTTCTACTGATATTCCTAAAGCAGATACTACAAGCATGCTAATTACCAACTGTGAAGCAGTTTTGCAAGCCAGCATAGACATTCAAAGGCCTGATGTAAAAAGGCATTCAGAAACCCTTCAAGGGATGGAAAAAACTGTGTGTAGAGATGTGCAAATGGCTTCTTTAAATCAAGCCAAAGAAGAACCTGAAAGTTTTCAAGATATCCAGGAAATAATATCAACTACTTCAGATTCTGAATTGGAGCAAAGCTTTCCTTGTTTGCTTGAAAACATGGCAATGGAGGAATTACCCCCAGAAAGGTATTTAATTTAAAATTAACTTTAAAAAGAATTCAGTGTATTGATGTTCAAGCAAGATAGCAATTAGGGAGGATGGATCAAGCAATTTTTAAAATTAAATTCAACTTTGTTTAGAGTGTTTTATCTTGCAGCAGGGACAGCCTACTTAGGAAGAGCTCCTTAATTTTTCACCTGAAAATAATGAACATACTGTATTTTAAGGAAATAATGCCACTTTTTACAGCCTGAAAGTTGTACAAGTGTCAGGGTTTTTGGGCTAAAATTCAACATACACTTTCCAGACATTAAGCTTCTCTATACAACCACTTTTGTGGAATGATTAAGGCAACGGGCTAGAAACTCAAGAGACCATGTGTTCTAGTTATATGTTGGGCACAAAGCCAGTTGGATGAGCTTGGGTCAATTACTATCTCCCAGCTCTAGGAAAAAGGCAATGGCAAATCAGTTTTGAAAAATTGTTATTATTTCACAGCTGAGGAACAAATTAAGCATACTGCAGATCTGTACTCTAGTGTTTATATCCACATATTTTTTTCCCAATTTTTAACCTAAGCATTGCCTATAGGGTCCATGCAACAAACTAAGATGTAAAGTAGCCATATTTTGGTTTGGTTCTTTCAGCAAACTCCCTTTTAACCTTATATTTTTCATGAATCTAGTCATTATTTCATTTCTTCTTCCCAAATTCAAAGGACCATGGATCAAATAAAAGAAAAAAAATGTTAAATTAATACCTAACCCTAAAACTATGCATAACCAATGACTCATTCTAAGTCCCAAAGGTGTGTTTTTAAGATTTAGCAAATGTTTTATTATTTTAAGTATATTTTAAGTGTTTTAAGAGTTTTCCTGATTTTAATCTTGAATCTGAGGAAATGTTTGCTATGAATTATTATCATATTTGAGCCCATAGGCTTCTATCTGCATTAACTAATCTTGTCATTAGCCTGTCATAATCATTCAGTCTCTCCTTGCTGTACGTGAAAGGGGCACTCCAGAATAGCTGCCAAGGAACTTCAGCCTAGGTTTAAAGAAAAAACATTAATTGCTCCCGATGGTTAGCAATTGGGGATCTTCAGGGGGAGTCTCTTTAAATAATTTCTTTATGAAAAAGACCTGAACATTTACATTTGCACAGCACTCTTAGCCCAAATAAAACAAACCACTTTATGGCAATATATGTGGTGCAAGTCCAGCCAATTGTGGTTTAATTGATAAATTATAGTTAGGAAAAACACAGCTAAGTGTACTCCAGGAAAACATAACATTACAAACCTATTTCATCATTGATAGATTTTTAATACTAAAATTGCAAAATAATAACATGGAAGGAAACTGCTTTATTGTATCCATCATTGACCAACACTGTGCCAGGGAACTAGTATTTGTACTAAGCATTGGGTCTGGTAAATCATTAAGACTGTATGTTAGTTACGTATTTATTTAGCATATGAAATATAGCAGATCTTATTTGTCTCGGGACAAGCTATTTCCAGCAGTATATAATGTAACTTTTAAGTGAAATATTAATTTGTATAAACTTTTAGGGCTGTGATCTAGTGTCGAATATAAAATTGCAATACAAATCAGGCAAAAAGATGTCATAATATTGGGGAAAAAGCAGAAAAATGAGTTCAAAATGAAATATGTAAATAATATACATTGAATAAGCATTGCCTAGAAAGTAAATGAGGATGAGAATTCATCTATCTCAAACCACAGAGTTAGGATGTACAGTTTACATGTGTAAGCAGTTCTGATATAATACATTTTGACAGATGTATTTTTTCAGTTCTTTCTAACTTAATTAAATCTGTTCAGAATGAATTTAGAATATAATATTTTAATATTCATGTTAGATTGGAAATATTAAAGTATTACATTGGGATCATATAGAGACAATACATCTGTAGATGCTGACCATGGACCTTATTGTAGGTCAAAGTAATTGACATAAATATACTATATGTGTGACATTAAGTTAATAAATAAGTAATATTAATAAAAGTATTGATATTAGAAGGTTAAAGAGAACGCTGTATATGGATCACCAATGCCTCCACCTTTTTAATCTTGTTAAATAATTATTCTCCAACTATGCTTGAAATTTTTTTAGTTCCATAAAGAACACACCTTTACTGTCATATTGTTACATCTGCTTTTTAAAATTTGTATTATACTGTATTTCCCTACCTTTAATTGTTAGGATTTTTGTCTGCTTGGTTAGTTTACTGGCATACAAAAAGACTTGGTAAAGTTTTTCAGGCTACAAGATGTAATAAGTTTGCCTCACATATAAACAGCAGCTATTGAAGACATAATATTCTTGTCAGGAAAAAAAACCCCTTGGTCCTACTTTTCCCAGATAGACATGAAGTCTAGATTTATTACTTAAAAATTAATCTTTTCTAATCATTTTAGTGTAGATGAAATAATAGTCCAAGTTATCATTTTTGAGGATGTGTGTCAGTGGTGGGATTCAAATTTTTTTACTACTGGTACTGTGGGCGTGGCTTGGTAGGCATGGCAGGAGAAGGATATGTAAAATCTCCAGTCAGAGGTGGTATTTGCTGGTACTCCGAACTACTCAAAATTTATGTTACCGGTTCTCCAGGACTACAGTCACAACCTGATTTGATCATGACCAGAAGCACAACTGACTGTGTGCACAGACAAAAATATGCATGGTCTGTGCATGAACGAAAGAGAAATCGGTGTGGAAAGGAATCTGCCACGGCCGGGTTTGTTCACCACCTGATTTTTGAATCGTGACCCAATTCAAAAATCATGGATTTTTGGGTCGGAACCCGATTTGGTCACAAACAAAAGTGTTCACGACCCAAAGTTCCACTGTACTTCTTTATAAGAGGAGCTAGGATATATCCTTTTAGGCCATCACTATTAATCTAATAAGTTGGTGATCAATATATAACTTAATTCTCTGTGTTGTCCCAGGAATTTTGGCAGGCCCATCAATCATAACCAAAGGTAATAAGAACAATTTTCCTCCCATCACTAGAGTTTTTCAAGAAAAGATTTGATAACCATTTGTCCAGAATAGTACAGCAGTCCTGCCCTGGGCAGGGAATTGGACTAGAACACGGGTGTCAAACTTGCTGTGATTCACGTTTTGTGATTCTTTTTCTATTTGTGATGCTGGGTGAATGAGGCCTGCATATGATGCATCTGGCCCATGGGCTGCCAGTTTGACACCTTGGCTAGAAGATATCTAAGGTCTCTTCTAGCCCTAGGATTCTAGGCAGAATAAGAATCTTGAGAATCGCTTTCAAAGCAAGCAACCCCAAACAAAATGTTCCACAAGTTTTTATACTGGCCCCAAATATCAAGCAAACATCATGTGGACTTCGAGATTGGCACAAAAAACAAATGCGTCCCTAAGCAAGCATTTCTTATAGGTAAAACAAGCATTTTTCAGATCTGATCTATATCAGATAGCCAGCAAAAAGCAAACTTACATCAATCAAGTCTGTAAATCAATCAGCAGTCAAGTCAGATTTTGCCCAGATGCCATTTAAGAGAAATTATGTGTTTTGATCCATCTGATTGTCTTTAGAAGGTGTTCAGTTCAGAGATGTGTGCAGTCTTCTGCTACCTTTGATTTCTTCACTACATTATTAGAAGAGAGGAATTTCCTTTTTGAATAATGCCATCAATTTTATATCTGCTCAAAGGATTTGGGATAGATTGTGCCTATGTTTTAAAAAGATAAAGCATAATATAATGTTGTACCTGTGGCAAACAAGGTAGTGTCTTGAGCAGCTGTTAGTTTATAGCTCCATTGCTTCATACAGGCATAAGCTAGAAGAATTTCTTATCACCTGTTTCTCCTGTCTGAGTATTTATCCCAAGTGGCAGCAGCTGCTGTCTTTTACAGAAGTGTAAACTTTATTTAGCAGCATGCCTGCAGATAAATACATCTTGCATACATGGATAATGTGAAAAACAAATTCCAGGACTTGGGGCTTTCCAAGATGATTAGCAGAATGTGTATAGACTTGCTTATTATATGACTGTAATAATTAAAGGAGGAAGAAAATGAATATATATTAAACTTTCCTATGGCATGCTTTTGCACCTCATAGAGAACATCATAGAGACAGCATTGTTGCAAAGGTATATGATATGTAGACTTTTTTGAATTTTTCACCTCTTTGTTGATGCTATTGAATTCAATTTCAGTTTGCTTATTTTAAATTTATTTCAACTTAATTCTATACCAGGTTGTAGTTGTATTTTTTTTAAAAAAAAACCTTGTACGACACCCGGTTTTCAACAACACTTGAGCACGTTCTCTTAATATATAGCCTTGGGACATAGTTTTCCTTATTTCTTTTCCCTGACCTATAATTATTTTTTTGAATTGCAAACTGTATCACAGTTGCAATGTTGAAAAAGGCATATATAGGCAAGTTACTCTGTTTTATTTCATTTGGAGATTGTAGAACTGCAAATTGTGTAAGACTGTATTAGTTCTAACGATCCAATTTTAAGTCCTATGAGAGCTATGCAGGAAAAACCGAGTATCTTTGACTACAGTCAAGATAGCATTTCCCCAAAACAAAGCTGGCACATAATTTAGAGTTCTTATGGATTTGCAGCTTTTGCTGAAGCAGTAGGTGGTAGCTGTGGCTGGGAGGGTCTTCGCTCAGATTTCTCTTATGTGCCAAGTGCATCCATTCCTGAATCAGGAGGACAAGTTTACTCCCCCCTCCCGCTCTAGCAGGAGACCCTACACCAAGGCTGTCAAATTCCCACCCTGTGGACCAGATGCGTCATGTCCTGGCCATGCCCATGCCCAGTTTAGCGAAGGGGAAAAAAGTCCCAATATGTCACATGACACAGCTGTGACGACATGAGTTTGGCATCCCTGCCTACACCATTGCCAACATATGGCATTCCAGTCTCTTCTTGAAAGCTTCCCATGATGAAGTTCCCACAACCCCAAAGGCAAGCTGTTCCACTGGTTGACTGCTCTCTCTCTCTCACTAATGCTGAGTGTTCCACAGTTTGCCCGTATTACAATGCTGATGTGCAAACTGCACTGGCTTTCAGGTTTTTTTTTTCTAAGAGCAATTCAAGATTCTGGTTAACACTTTTAAAGCTAAATGTCATGGGGCCAGGTTATTTGCAAGACTGCTTCTCCCAAAAAGTATATGCCCATTCCATCAAATCTGATCAAGTGGATACACTCTAGATCCCTTCCTTTAAATGCTGCCATTTTCGAGGAAATGTACCTTCTCCAGAGCAGTCCCTACCCCATGTAATGTATGTTTCCTGAGATCTGGCAGCCCCCATTCCCTTGATTTTTGGAAGGCCTTGAAGAGCTGACTCTTCCTTCAAGAGTTGGGGTAGTGAGGCTGGAATCCAGTACAACTGAATATGGATGTATGGGGGCAGTTGCCTTTTTTTTTGGATGCCAGGAATTTTTGTTTTATTGTTGTTTTGTGAGCATTATAGTCTTGCATGTAAGATAGCGGGAGGGGGAATATAATTATTTAAAATAAACAAATAAAATAAACACAACCTAATGTTATTAGTGGTTTCAGCATAAAACCAGAACTAATTTCTTTTCCAAGCACGATTCACAGAATCTCTTAGCAAGGTTTATTAAAAGGGATAGAGTTACAAGAGTTCCAGCGACTGAACTATTTCCAGCATACAACTGCATGTGTCCCAATACATGTTAGTAGACAGTAATATTCTTTTTTACTTTTTGAGAACTGCGATGTCTCCTCACAGATAAGGATTGATTTTACCACAGCTATGATGAGAAAAATTATTTGTATCTATTGGAATCGTAGATTATAAAACATGTTCCTGGATAAGCCTTACAAGGATCCTCAACATTTATGAAAGGATTTCTAAAGCTTTTAAAAAATCAAAGAGAAAGAAATTGGACAACATTTGTCTGAAATGGTAGAAGGTTCCTGCCTGAGCAGGAGGTTGGACTAGAAGACCTCCAAAGTCCCTTCTAACTTTGTTATTCTGTTAGTAGTGAGGCAAGCTGATGAACTGTAGTGAAAGGAAGAGGAATAAACAATAGCTGTGGGGTACTGCCATTCAGTGATCTGTGAATCAATTCATATTTTAAATCTCTTTGGATGTGAATGTGAGATATTCTCACAGCTTTAAAACAATGTGAATAATCCTTTTAATTTCTTTTATTTCCTTTGATGCCTCTGTCAAGATGTAGTTATTTGTCAGAAGTTGTAATTTTGTACATGCTTACTCAGTGAACTTGGGATATACCATGGACATAGCAGCCCGATGGTCTTTTAATGTTTTATTTTTTATTTATTTATTTATTTATTTATTTATTTATTGGTCAAGCGATTATAAGATAACTGGTATAAGTATAAACATAGTTATGAATACATGAAATGGATACATATAGGAAAAATAAAAATGTTGTGACATCATACTCACAAAAAATGTCACTTGGTATTTGACATATCTTCTTTGGATAGAAAATAAATAATATGAGAGAGTTATGGAATAATAGTTCTTGTGCTGCTTGAATCTGAATTTACAGTGGGTATAAAAAAGTCTATACAACCCTGTTAAAATGCCCGGTTTTTGAGAAGTAAAAAAAAAATGAGATCAAGATACATCACATCAGAATTTTTTCCACCTTTAATATAACACATATAATTCAACTGAAAAACAAACTGAAATATATTAAGGGGAAAAATAAAAATTAAAAAAACAAAAAAAACAAAAATGTGGTATAGACTTTTTGTATCCAATGTATAGCAACAAGATAGAAATTTTCTATGTTATTTTTTTATTATTATTTTTTTAGTTGCCTAGGTAGGTAGTAAAAAAGAAGCAATCATTCTCAAATAATTATTTCAGCTTTTTGCTTTGCTGTCCAGTCATGTTTTAATCTGTTTTTTATTAGTTTTTTTTTTATGGCGTATCTAAAGCTAATTGTAGGTGAACACATCTTGGTTGTTGTTTTTTCCTTTGAACACTTTCACACATGTTTCTTCAAACAATAACAAGTATGAGATATGTGAGAAAGTTCTTTTGATAAACTTTGGCCAGATGTGGTATAACATGACATTTGCTGATGCCATGTTTTTGAAGTGAATTTCACTTTTATGATTTTTTATGTGAATTTTTATATACATGTGATGATTTGTACTGAATCCTCAGTATATGCTTGGATACTATATACAACTGTAAATTTCAACGCATCTTGTTTTTGAAGATATTGATGTTAATATCAACAAAAGTAAAAACTCATTATTTTTTATTTTAGTTATTTATTTGTCAAGCAATTATAAGATAACAGGTATAAGTATAAACATAGTTATGAATACATGAAATGGATACATATAAGAAAAATAAAAAGAAACAATAGGACTTGCCTTGTTGCCTACAACAACAGTAGGCAAGTTGGTGCGCTTATGCATGCCCCCTACAGACCTCTTAGGAAAGGGGTGAGGTCAATAATAAACAGTCTAAGGTTAAAGTTTTTGGGGTTTGGGGAAGAAACCACAGAGTCATTTTATGGAAATTTATGGAAATTTATGAAAATGGGACTTTGATACAATTAACCCTTCAGTTCTATGTGTCCCTGCTCAATAGGACTTACGTCAGTGCATAACATACTATTTTGTCTCTTCTTGCATGTAGACATTCTTCATTTTAACAGGGAGTTTCTAGTTGTTACTCCTTATATGAGCATGATCTCTTCCACAAACATCAAGCCAATACAGAGTACTCATTTTATAACTTCATCATGTAGTAATCCAGCTGACACAAGAAATATTGGTATGATGCCTTCAATTAAATTGCTTCCCTTCTATACACGTGTTATGCCAGACTATCAGTAAAATATTATTCAAGTTTCAAACAGTTAATCATTATACAAGGTATGAGGAATTCATTTTTGTGATAAGAATGTGAAACATTCACTCTTGCTAGAAATGCCATGGCTAAGAATAGCTTCCAAAGAATGCATGGAAAGCTACATTTGTTTCTAAAAGTATTAGCAAGATAGGTTAATAAATCTAACAGCTGTTATTACAAACAAATGTTTATTAATATAAAAGATTAATTATAACTACCACTGATTTTCAGGTGTGATTTTATCCAAATTGGACATGACTAGTTGCGAGTAAGTTAACAGTAAGTTGCAGGTCCTGACAGGCCTTGATTAGTCTCAGAAAAATTAAGACTAACCCTGCCTAATAAATGGATGGGTGCCATTAGAATCTCAGGACTTGGGGGAAATTGAAAATATCTAAGAAAGTAACATTGTCAAATCATTTCCATGTTGTAGCTATAAAAACCACATTCTGGTGTATTATCCAGAATCAAGCTCAGTTCAAGGGAAACTATCTCATTTTTAAGGAGGAATACAAGAGGCATAGGCAGGATTATGTCAGGATGAAAAGTAGGCCATGTCACACTTTATTCCAAGCAAGAAAACTTATCAAATGTTAACAAAAAAAGTATGTTTGCTGTCTGGTCAAAAATTCTGAAATCACTTATATTTCTGAAGGACCCCTTCCTCTCTACACAGCTGAACTTCTCAATACTAAACCAATATAACTAAATAGCTCAGCTCAGCTTCCCAATACTATAGTCTGTTCAGCGGGGGAATTTTTAAGCCCTTCCATCAAGATTTACTTCCTTCAGCCCAGGCCTAAAAAAAGAGATAAATACAACAGAATTTCCTGCTCAAAGTCTAGATAAATTTTTTTTAGCAATGTGATAGCAATCCTGAAACACAAAGGGAATTAATTACTGAACTGTGCAGTTTTGCATATGGAAGAAGTTTCAATGAGAAATTATTTTGAAAATAATTGAAGTCAAATTTCTAGAAATTATGTCCAGAGTTACCAGCTAATTAAAGCAAGTTACGTATTACCATTGCTTCAGCACCTACCTGCGCAGAGGTGGTTGTAGAGAGAATAATTGGAGCATCAGTTCCTGATTGGCTGATGCTAACTGGTCTTGTTTTGCTCTTTTTTTAAAGTTCCTTTCTTATTGAGGATTTATCTCTAGGATATGTAAGCCAGTTTCTGAGAGACTATCTGTATCTGATATGCTAAGTCTACCAAGCCAGTCAAAGATTACTTAATAACTGAACCTACTTCATA